GAGAGAGAGAGAGAGAGAGAGGCCAGTGGAGGGGTGGGGGAATTGAAGAAACAGGTGGGGGAGAGTTGTGCGCGGGTGTCTTTGGTCGAGTGGGGCTCCTGGCGCCTGCTCGAAGCCCCCGCCCCGCCCCCCGCGTCATACATACACACACACAGAGAGAGACTTACGGTAGCTTAGAACTTAGCCTTTTCCCATTGCTGGTGGTGGCGGCGGCGGCGGTGCTGTCTCCTCACTACTCCCGCGGATGGGCGCGCCGCCTCCTTTCAGCCTGGTCCCATGTGTTTGGTTTTGTTGTTCTCTTTTCTTTTCGTCCTTCATATTCCTTCGCCGTGTGTGTGTGTTTGTGAGTTGGCGGCGTGCAGTGGAATGAGTTGGTGTGTTCGTGTGTATGTGTCTGTGTGCAGCTAAGAGGCACAAGAGAAATGTTCGCTCCTGTATCCGCTTCTCCGTATGTTATGTTGGTGTTGTTGCTCTTGTTTCAGCTCATGCGTTCGCTGTCTCTCCGTTCCTTCTCTCATTCATTTATGTGGGGGAGTGCGAAAAGGATAAGGAGAAATATGGTAAGCGCGCCTGCGCGGATTGTTATGTGTGGGTATGTCTCCGTGAACGAAAGTGAGTGTGTGTCTGTTCCTCCGGTTGTGTGTTTTACCTAGGTCCCTTGTTGTTTTGGCGGTGTGCTCATCTCACTCTGGGTCGGCTTTTGGTCGCTACCTGTGCCTCTGCTCTCCATCATCACTCCCTCTCGTGTTGCACTGCTATGATTTGTCTGTAAACAGCAGCTGCAGCTGCCCATTTGGTATGGGGATTATGCGTGGAAAGACGGTAGGCGCACGATCACACTGCGCACACCAGCATTGGGGGATGCGGAAGTGGCTGCGCGTGCATGCGAAGATCTCACTTTGGCTCCCGCTACTGCTGCTGTTGTTGCTGCTGCTGATTCTGATGTTCCAGCTCTTGGTGTGGCAGGCGGCATCCCCGTTGGAGAGTAACGACGCCGTCGCTGTTGTCGCCGCCACTGCGGACACGCCGGTGCCACAGCCGCTTCACACAAGCGATGGGAGAAACTTCACTCTGGGCTACTCTGGCGGCGGCACATATGATGATGATGATGATGATGGCCTTGCTGACGTAGTGGAGGACAAAGTGTTGCGGCTGCAGCCAACCGGCCTCCAGCTGCACCAGAACGTGTGTTTTTGTGCAAACGGTACCCGGCTGCGCCTCCGCCGTGCCGCCGACGGTGAAGACGTTTGGAGGGGTACGTCGGTTGTTCTTGCGCGCGCCGGGTGTGGTGCCGGCACCGTGAGCCGCGAGATGGCACGTCTTTTCGTCTGGCTGCAGCAGTGGGAGTCGCCTTCTGCCCGCAACGCGTCGCTGCTGCACGTCCGTGTCGCGGGAGGGGGAGTTGTTGCGGTGCCGCGGACGCAGAGACTCGCTGTTGTTACTGCTGATGGAAGTGGTGGGCGCTGTGAGGCGGCTGGCGAGGCGGAGTACGACCGCTTGCGGCTGCTCCACTGGATTCGCGTTGTCACTGGGCTATTTCAGTTGCCGCCGTGGTGGAGCAAGGATGAGGCTGCCGCTGGTCGCGTTGCGCCCCGTCATGTGCAAGTGGTAGTGGATGTGCTGCAGGGCACAACTGGAGCCTCACTGTCCGTCTCGTCAGTGCAGGAATTGGGCTGCTTTGAGTATGCGCTGCTGGCTGCTGCGGGGGGTTCGCCGCGTTGGTTCCCGTCGGAGTTGTGGGCGCACCGCTTTCGTTTGCGCTGGCTGCACTACCTACACTGCCACCACCTGCAGCAGATGCGGATGCAGACGGCAGAGGCTACAGCAGCCGCGGTGTGGGGCACGCAGCCGGTCTCGCCGGTGCTCCGCCGCATGCTCATCGCCGCCGTCGATGATGATCACGACGCGTTGAATGCAGCGGCACCAGCCGTGTCGGATGACAGTCAGCGTCTTCGTCGTCCTCACCGCCGCAGCAGTAGCACCAGCTGCATCCATAATGAAGGGATGGGAGCTGCAGCGCTTGCTAGTGCACTGGTTGAGGCTCCATCGTTGGGCAAGGCAAGGCCGCTGCAGATCACAATGATTGTTCCTCGAGCGGATTCTTCCCACGATGCGAGGGACGTCGCGTCGTACCTGCACGAGAAGTTCGGGCAGGCGGGCCGGATTCAGCTGATCTATGTGAATGCCGCCAGTGACGAGAGAAAGAAACTGTTGGAGTCTGGCAGCCAGAGCGACCGGTTTGGGGTGCATGTTGTGCGTGACGAGGCCGAGCTGCTGCTGCTGCTGGCGCTGACGGACGTGCTAGTGGCGCCGCATAGCACCGCACTGGCCGCACTGGTGGCGATGCAGCCGGGGAGCGTCGTGGTGGAATTGTTCCCGCACCGCTGCCGCTCTCTCGCCCACGTGGAGTTGGCGGCGGCGATGCACGTTTCATATATCGGCTACGAGGAGTCGGGCGACCGGGAAAACAGCAATACGGGGCATAACAGCATGTGCGTTGTGGGGCAAAATGCGTCCGTGTCTGCCGCAGGCGTACAGCTGCGCTTTGAGCGTGGCGCGGCGTGTCGGCAGCGGCGTGACGTGCGTGTGTCAGCGCTGCGGTTGTACCACGTGGTGAAGAGCGGGCTGTCGGCGGTGTTGCTGCGCAACAGTCGCTTCTTCGGTGTCATGGCCTTCGACCGCCGGTAGCGCCCACCACCAGCAACAGCAGGGGCAGCGGCTGTGGGAAGAGTGTTGTGTGTCGTGTTTCTCTCGCTGTGTGGCAATGCGGAGCAGAGCGTCGGGGTGTGTGGGCGCACGTTTCCCCACGCACCACCAGAGGAGGAGGAGGAGGGGACTGTGAGATGCTGGCTGCAAGCAGGCAGGCACGGTGACGGCAATGTCGCTGACGCCACACCGGCGCTGTGGCATTGTGTCTCACCTTCCCTCTCCTTCTCTCTCGCTATCTCTGTCTGTGTATCTATCTCTCTGTGTGTAGTGAGGGGGAGGTTGCGTTTACCCCTGAGTCTTTGCGAGTGAGTAGTGCAGCGCGGGGGGCTGCGGCGCTCCGTACGGACGTATTTCTGGTGTCTCTTCTGCTAGTGCTGTGGCCTTTTCTTCGTTGTTTTCTTTGCACTGACACGTTGTCTCTTTTCTTTTTGTCCTTTTCGCTTGTTTTCTTTCTTTCTTACTACTGTTCCTGTTGGTGACGATGCAGCAGTCCTTCACGCTCTCCGGGAGTAGTGGCGGTGAGGGGGAAAAGAGGGAGGGAGCGCGACAGTGGGGGTGTGAAGCCCGCCTCCCACACACACACACACGCATTTGCTTATACATCAGGCAGAGAAGAGAGTAAAGAGACAACGGAGAGAGAGAGAGAGGTGGGGGGAGGAATAAAACAAGAAATGTCGTTACCGTCCGCATCATGGGAGAAGCGCAGAGCAGCGGGACGCACAACAGCCGGGAGTGACTGCAGCACAGTCTCAACGGGGCTGACGCCGCAGCTGCCGCCCATTTCTTCGGCGACGCTCCATGAGAAGCGGGCGAGCGCCTCACGCTGCAGTGCTGCTGGCAGTCGCAGCGACAGAAGCCACCATCACCACCACCACCGCCATCAGCAGCAGCAGCAGCAGCAGCATCATCACCATCGGCGCGAGCGGCGGCTGCCGCAGATCGACCAGGGGCGCCACCAGAAGCTGCACGGCCAAGAGCTTTGCCAGAACTGGGTCGTGTGCCACCGCGCAGAGCAGAGCGCCGCACGTGATGTTGTTGATGTTGCCCGCGAGCTCTTCTACGCCGTCATTATGCGCTACCACACCTTTATCGCCGACAACGGCTACGACCAGCTTCGGCTGTTGGCGGTGAAGGCGGCGGTGAGCTGCTTCCTCCTCGAGGAGATCGTCAAGGCGCTGCCGCGGCACAACATCCTCGCGCCGTGCATTGGGCTGCTGCTGCGCGCCGTCTACGTGCCCGATACGGCGGTGGCGCGCGAGGCGCTGGGCGGAAGCGTCGCGTACCCACGCGTGCTCGACGACCTCCCGCTCGACTCCGCGTCACGGGCGCTGCTCTCACGCTACGCG